CTATTGGTCAAAGGTGGTGGCTTGGTTGTTGGATAAAGAGGTTCGCCTTTATCATCCTATACTTTTATACATAAATAGGGTATTTTATTGTATGAAATATAAAAGGAAAAATTTTTACATCATGTAAAGTAAAAAAAGATGATTTCGTGTCAAACAAGAGAAGTTGAATTATAAAAAAAACAAATTTCTACAATTGCACGAGATCTTAATATAAATACTGCTTTTTGAAATTATCCACAAAGGTTTTATAAAAAAAAATTAATCTGTCGCCTTGATTCTAGAAGTTTGCACATTGAGTGTCATAATCTAGCATTAACCAACCAGAATGCAAGGTTGCAAGGTCGAAACTTTATGTGCAAATTATGGCAGCAGTTTTTTAAAGAACGCGGTGACTCCTAGATCCATCAATGGCCTAACATTTTAGCATATTTTAACGCATTTTACAGCTAAATATGTGGACAATTTTTAACGCTCTTACAAAATAAAACATAAATAAATTTTCATATTTTAGCATATTTTGGTGGACACTCAATTTCTGCTTAGATTGGTACTTATTTAAGCTTTGAACTCAAGGTTCTACTTAAACCTAGTTTAAAGATTTTTTAAATGCATGCCTCTTCAACACAAATTAAACTCAAAAAATGAAAAACATATCTATTTGCTGAACGTAATCAAGGCCAAAGTCATCTTTAGCTTATTTTTATATTATTATCGCTTAAGCTGTGAAAATGATATTTCGTGCATTTGTGCCCTCTTTTCGGATATAGGTTTTTCCTTCTGCGGTTACGTAAAAGTAAAATTATGTTTTGTTAATGTATGATTTTGGAAAGTGAAGTTATTATAAACCAAGGACTGACTTCATTAAATAATGCTGAAATAACCAGGCAGATAATCAATTTCCAAATATTTATCTCTGAAAGAATTAGCTTGATATACAACACAGTTTTATTAATAGCGTATTAACAAATTAATTTATTTAAATTAGCTATGTATGGCTTGTCTTTTTTAAAATAATACTAGAACTAATTGTTTTTTTAGCTTTGTAATTCATCGATTATAACAAATTTTTTTAATTGAAAATATACAGTGGGCTTTTTCCCTTCTAGTCACCTATCAATCTCTATTCACTTATGTTACACTAGAAAATCTAAACATATGTATTGGCGTTTGTGACAATGCGTTATCAATCCACGGTGGACCGACAGCAAATTCGCATGCAAGTGCATAGTAAGTTAATTTTATCTGTGACTCAACTTTGTCTTTCATTTGTCCCAGTTTATAAGTACTTAGATAACGCAAGCTAAAATTTTACTTGGACATTTCAAGTCTGGAGAGTAAATATATGGTTCCGTCCGCTGTTAATGCATATCTACATTAATTTTTCGATATGACTCATTTCAGTAATGATCGGTTTCATTTCAGACGCAGGCTTAAAGTTTTGACTGTATGCGGAAAGATGTTTTTGAAGGTTTAGTAATAAAATTTAGTCCCTAAGAAAAGTTTCTTACACAAGATGTTTTTCTGTCTATCAGGTTAATACCGTCAAATGTGCCCAAAATTTAGCCAATTTCCTAGTCTGACCTGAACAAACGTCCCTTTGCTCGACTACTTGATTCCTGTAACCACCCGCTTTAGTTCCTTTCTTTCCACAGACTGAATGCTAGTCGTAACTATTTTTAATGATCTAACAAAGATGGTTAAATCCCTTGGTGTTTAAGACCTTTCCTCGCTTTCTAGACCGGATCAAGTCTGATTTTGTCGTCAGTCGCAGTGTTTCGAAATCATGTTGAAATCTCTATACAATTTATGGGTTGTATTTTAGGCCTTCTTTTAAGCAATGTGACTAGATTTAAGCATTCAATTCTTTTAGAAGGAGTTACCTGGGTAGTTTGGTTTAAAACTTGAATAAACATTAATAAATTTGTGCTTGCTTAAGAAAGCATAACCCTCACCGATAGATAACACTTTAATAATTTCGAAATGAAATATTGGAAGGAATCGAAATTAACATTGTTAGATTTATTTTTATTCTCCCCGGATTCAAGATTCGTATACGCAAAGTAAGATCAGGTCTGCTAAGCGTTTGGCGCGATTCAAAGTATTAAATTTGAATTAAAATGTGTTAAAAAATAATATTTATGCTCAAAGCTTTCCTTTTTAATTTGATTCGATTTCGTCAATTTTCAAAAGGAAGTAATACTTGTGCATTAATGTTTAAAAGTTACTCCAAAAAGACGTTATTTAACTCTTCAAAATAAGTTTGGGAAACCCTTCATCGTCTCTACTAAAAAAGCTCCCATTTACTGCACGGGCGAAAACAAATGCATTGACGTTTTTTACTGTTTCAATCCTTTTAATAAAAATTGCTTCACGATAAACACTGATTGGTCAAGTACAGCCTTACAAATGAAAATCAAATCATGATTCGTGAGCGATTGCGATTTAAGATAATTGAATTTTCTTTTTCTTATTAAATGAATGTAACTCATTGAAGATCGTATTATAACTTCCTATCTATCCATGCCGCTTTACGCTTCAAATGCTCGCACAAGTGCTAAACTGAATATGAATGAATGACTTGTCTAGATTCGAATAGTCGCTCATCACAAGGACCGACTGGACAGTCAAAAATAAACATCCCAGCTAGGTAACAATATCTAATTTGCATGTTCCCATCGATATGTATGAATCGTGATAATTCACATCGATAAATCTGGCGCCACATACATGGACACATCGACCGCAATAATCAGCGTCTCTTTCGCTCATGCGGACACACCACATCGTGCACCACATGCGCATACTCGTCATGACACTCTACCCTAGCATGTATTACCTAGATGCTTGTGCATCTGCCAGTCCATCCGATTTCAAATGGTCGACAGTCATCATCAGTCAAGTCTTACTTATTCATGACGTCTTATGGCCGAAACAGGGATTTACAAAACGATTAGGCCATCCAATTACCAGCTGTAACACCCGACATCTGCAATGGGTTTCCTAGTCCATACCAGGAACTTTAGTCAACATGTTAAATCTAAATCAATGGGTGCTCTTAAATATTTTCGAATAATTTCAAAAACGACAAATGAAACTAAAAGTGAGCTATCAAATGCCTACTACAGGGCATTGGTGGACATTCAAACAAACGGTATCTAGATATGCGCGCATAACTGATATCAATTTTTTTGCACTTTGAAACGCACTGAACTTGGAAAAGTGATAAAATTTCAAAATTACGACGTGGCTCAACAACGACGTTCGCAACTGACTGATAGTGTTTCCCTGTATTTCCAGTTCCCTTTTTGATTACTGAAAAGTAAAAGATTTCATCCTGGCTCAAACCTAGTGATCGCATCCTGTTTGCTAATGAGAAATAAATTGTTAAAAGCGAATTTTGAATAGAGCCAACTTTAGTTGTTATGATTTTTGACATCTAGATTGCACGCTCTAGGAATTCTTAGCAACAAACCGATGTTCCCAATTCAATAATTCAAGTTCGCCCGAAATGTCAGATGTTTGGTACTGCTTCATTACTTCTGCCTTCTGTGAAGCATTTAGTCGTTGCTGTGTTGTTTATTTCCTACTAAGTGGAATCGAACTTGGTGGCTGAGTAGGTGGGGACATCCATAAGTGATGGAAGACCGTGTTCACTTTGTTCACAGTGCCATGAGCAGCAGTCCATGCCGTACCCCGGAATCGCTCCCCATGTTGTTGGATCTCTGCCCTTCATATTTCACCCATTCGCGTTTGTTTGCATGGGCAGTCGAGTTTAATCTAATTGGAGACGAGTGCTTCCTGTTACGTTGCGAGGGAAAGAGGGAGGGATCACACCATTATTAGGCTCATTTTTTGCTGTGCTGGCAGGTAATGATTGACTTGGAAATCCGACGTGAAGTGAAGGTTCAGAACGGCAGTTGTGTTTGAGGTCCCTGGATGTCGATTTTCAACTGATGTGTTGCTCGATGTCAATAGTGAGAGTGTGCATTAATCGAGGGGGATTAGATCGTTTTAGACCTTAGCATACACTAACACCCAGTGCAAAGATGTTTAATGAGAACCATATCTGAGCAGACCAACTTACGTCACATTTCCTTACACTGGGAATCACATTAAAGCCTACTTTTATGAACCCGAGAGCAATTAAAATGAACGTCTTGCGTAAACGTAGAAATGGGCTCACGTGGAAGTCATTTATGTCATTCAAGTTAGTGTCTGTATGGTACGTTAGGCAAACTGCCACATTTTTCAATCAGTATTTCATTTATACCTGCCGGAAAACACCTAATTGCTTTTTAGGAACGGTTTTTCAGCTTTATGCGGCTTCGCTGCAAACCACTAAAAATGTACAGCTGACCATTATTCCTAACTAACACGAAGCAGTCCAAGCGAAATTCGACTGCTGCAACGAGATCACGACATCTTCGAGAAAGTACCGAAATGCTTTGGATCAAAAATAAACACAGGAGAACGTGTGAAGAAGTAACAAACAAGCAGTAGTTTAATTGTGGTGCACCTTGGGCGACACCTGTGCAAACAACAAAAAAAGGTTGTTTACTGCATCATTCAAAAAATTGACTGACACGGAATGTTCCGAATTCGTTTACAAACGAATTCTTTTAAATCAATTTATTTTGCCTCTTAATTTTCAAGATCGTGAAATAAGAACGCAAAGTACTTGATTTTCACTCTCAACTTGATTGTCCATTAAGACGTACGGAACCAAGTGACGATTCTAACGACTAATTCGCTACAGCATGAACACAGCGTCCCCCTAAATTGGCAACTGCACACCTAGTCAAACTGTGAATGCAAGTTCGACAGGTGCATTTTTCGGCCCTTCCACTGCCTGTTGAAACTTCCCATCTGGTGACTCGAGAGCGAAATCATGCTTAGTTCAAGAGAAAGGCATCAAATACTAGAAATAGCTTTGTATTAAGTCTAAAAAGTTAGGAAAAGTAATATATCATTGGACAATAAGATGAAGAGTGAGAAATTTCCTATTGATTGTGAATGATTCGGTCGAGACAATGCTGAACTTGCTGGAACACCTGTTCCGGTGTCCTGCTTCCATCGATTCGCGTGACGAGTCCCCTCGCACCATAGTAGTCGATCACTGGCAAGCCCTCCACTTTGAATTGCGCAATCCTAAACAGGCAGAAAATTGGACAATGAAGCACCAATGTTGCCACCAATAGGATATGCGGGAATCGGGCACACTCGTTAAACCACTTCTACATTTTGGACAAAGAAGAAGTCCCCGAGGGCTGGGTGTCAAACAGCCGTGTTCGCAGCATTTGCAATGACTCACAGGGAATCTGGAGTGCCGAAAACAAACCTAGTAAATTGTCCCTTCTAAATAGGACTCAAAGCCTCACCTCTTTAGACACAGGTAAGGCTATCTGCAGTTGGACTGTTAAACAAGGCAAATCGACTACGACGCGGTCGGTTAAATCGTACCTATTTTTCAGTGTTTCTTCGTTGTCGTCTATTCGGCCATGGCCCCTGTTCAAGCAGCGCTGAATGCAGACCTACAACCACAAAATGAAACAAAATAGGAATTTTGAAAAGTAGGCGGCAAGGTAGCATTGCAATAATGACATTATCCAAGTCTGACTGTGGTGCCTACAGGTGCTTAGGGCACAATCACTAATTAGCTAGAAGGATCGTCTGACCTTAATAGTAGTGCTCCGTCAGAAGTAAAGCACGTTCAACTCTTGATCACATACTTGCTTCGATGAACAGAGACATGATTTTGCATCACGCGAACACATGACACCACTCGTCACACCAGTCCCGTGGCATTTTTTCTAACCTGCACAGGACCACTGAAAGAGTGTGTGCGTGTGTGAGTGACAGGACCCAAATTTAGCTGATTTATGACACAATAAACAAATACATTAAGTGAGCGCAGGAATGTGGACGAGCACCCTGGCATGGCACCGGTTGTTACGGCCGTGAGATTTCGTCGTACGCTAACAAGGTCCGACTCCCTGCATTTTTTGATTGCTAATATGACTGTTATTCTTTGGGAAATTTGTAATCTAAACATATCGCAAAACCGATAACCGTTGCTTGGCAATTAAACCTACCCATAATATCTCCATGAGACAAGGCGGACGAAGAGGAATATATAACTTTTCATTTTATTATCTGCCGGGGATCAGTGGTTGCAGCATTAAAGTCGAGCTTAAGTGTAAATGAAAACGGGGATGCGCAAGCACTGAGGCTACCTATTTTGATAAATGTCCAAACCAGTCAGCCTACTTTGATGTCCGTTCAACCAATAAGAGACGGTAGCAGCCTAATGTAAGTCCAGACGAGACGGGGATAAGTAAATCAAGTAGCGGGTAATGACTCACGTCTTCGGGGCAATCGAAGACGAGGACTTGGAGAATTTTGGTTTTGTCGGACATGGCTGCCTCCCATCCGGTTTTATTGTCTTCATTTCGTGGGAATCCATCGACGAGGTAATTGACGCATTTTTGTCGGCTGTAGCCTTCCAACATGGCCTGCAGACAATAAAACGTCATCACACTGCGGCAACTAACGTCAAGAACAGCATTACGGCGTCGAAACCATGATGCATGAAACTCCCGAATAAATAATAGATTATAGCGAGGATAAGAACGAGGAATTTTAGACAATTTACACACGAGGGTCTTCGTACAAAAATAATGAACATCGCAACAAGTGTACGCAACAATATAAGTTTCGAATCGGTTTACTCAGTTACGCAATGTGCTGTCAGAACAGCAGTTTACGTCGAATTTGTTTACTGGCTATCAAGGACACACAAAAATCAGTTGGTTTTCGGATAAATGGATGAAAACCGGATTAAATGTAGCGTGAGGAACTTAAGTGAGTTAACTCACACACACATACATACACCCGACAATAAACTCAACACAAATCAGTCGTTTTTGACCTCGTCCTACTGTACAATCCAACAAATCTTTTACCCAAATGACACTGAAAATTACCTTTTAGATTTCTGGAGGGCAAACACCACGCGACTTTAAAAAAAGCAAAGACACGCGATGCTAGTCTCCACCTAGTGTCACCAAAAATCATCGCTTGCGTTATGATGCCACTAGTCCAAAAAAAAAGATGGTGAATAAGTAATTTAGAGTAACATAGTGAGAGTTGTTATTTGAGTCGAGTAAACAATTTAGGTACTTTTATACTTGAGTGAGGCGAAAACCTGAGAATATTACGATATTTCACAACCATCGAAGATAATTGAAGAGCATAGGATAACACCACCTAGATTTATTTAACACTATACAGAAAAGCAGGCCAAACTAGGTTCCATATTGCGATTCGAGGTGAAAAAAGAAAACATTGGGGAAGTAGAAAATGACCCAAGGAAAACAGATGGAGCCAAAGCATTCAACGATTCAAAGTAGACAAAGTCGCGGAGTAACGCATACAATAGTGTACAGCAGAATCTGTTAAGCTGATTAAAACGAACGAACACAACAAACGTGACAAATCTAAGAGAAATGCATCGTGCTATCCACATACATAAATGAAACTTTAACATGAAGATTGCGCAAGGTAGACACTAACATCTTCAACTTGCGCAAATTAACATTGCAGATTTTGTCTTCACTTTACTTTTTACGGCTTTAAAAATTATCGGTCCGAATGAAAAGCTGCTGAAGGGTCACACAAACACTGTATTAATGATTCATGAATGTAATTTTTAACTACCCTGTGTGCAGCAGTCTAAAGAGTACAGTTTCTGATTTAAACTTTAGAGTTATTAAAAAAATGATGCATGATGTGGTCGGCTAACTGCAATTTTGAGATACACAACTTACTTGATGTAGAAGGGAACACGTTATGGCAACAGGCACGATTGTACCCGATTTAATGCACGACTCAATTTCAGAGGCGAATCTCGAACCAGGTGTGTTCATTTCTTTACGAAGAAGCTCACCAGCGGATAAGTGTATCATATTGTAATGCTAAAATTAAACAACAGCTGTGAGGGATGTAGTTCCCAAAAAGGCAAGAAACACCGGTTGAAAGTTTTTCGTACACCAGGGTGGATTATTTGATGTTCAAAGGCCCAAAGTGAGGTAAAAAGTTGTAGTTTTTTACCTGAAGCAAATTTAGGGTTATTTAGTTGAGTCTTCTTTTACAGTTTTTATGGTTCGGGAACATACCGTTTACAAAAATACGGAAGGGCTAAAGCCCTAAATAGTACAACAAATGCATCCATAGCATAAGACAAGTAAAATCATACCGAGGCTATCATCGGACAAATTGTGCCCTTTCCTGCCCCAGGGCCTCCAAGAATGAAAATTACGCCGAATGGTTTCAGTGGTTGAGTCGAATCGCATTTTGACGCCATCTGCATGGAGAAAAATTTCGAAATAAACTTAGTGGGTTTCGTTAGTAAACTGGAACAGAATTTAGTACCAATGCACGAAAACGCTAAGACACTCATCGCCCAATCATCTGGCACATCACCGTCAGCACACACACCTTACCAATTTTCAAAATGTTTTCGGGAAGGTAAGCTTAAATAAGTAATGTCGACCTAGAGATATCACTTCAAGTTCACATTTATGATTTGTTATGTGAGCTAATTAAAAGATAAACTTAAACTTAATGAGATAGGCTAGACATCCAAACACACGTGGGTGTGAATTTACTCAATTATAGAGTTCGATTATTTTGTCATATATTCACGCCTATAATAGTGGCTTTCGGTCATTTGTTTAGATGTCAGTCGTTCCTTTTAACACTAGTACCGTTTTACACAGAAATCCAGATTTTTTAAAATTAAAATAAATGAGTCCCTGTGCTGTCACTTTCCTGGACATATTGTCCCGCATAGAATATCGGAATGGTAGTATATTGTAAAAAAATCTATTTTAAAAAAGATGGTTTTGGACAAAAATGGGAAAAATTGTTAATGGATAATAATTAACGAAGACTGTCTTAGCTCGCCCCTTCGTAGAGGTCAATGGGAACGACCAACACACATCTATTAGACTCATTGCCCCTTCTTTCTTGAAATATAGTCATGAATTTGAGAAAGGCATGGTGGTGTTGCTATAATCAAGACCAGCTTCTGGGAAGACATACTGTTGAGCCTATACGGATTTTACTGTATATTTGGTATTTTAGCAAAGATAAATATATTATCAACTGCAGGAGTAAGTGGGAGCACCAAATACTACGTCGGAGGGATTTAACTGCTTCATGGAAACCTGTGAAGGATTTAAGAGTTCGATATGTTTTTTAACAAAAATACTGCCAATGAGGCCAATCGATATCTCCAAATCCAAAAAAATATTGCATTGGCTTGTGCATAAATCAATAGCTCTTTTGTTTTCAAAGGATACAGATGTCCAGGCAAATTCAAAGAGATTATTGTCTTTTATAACAGCTTTTAATTATCTCATGTCACGACTTCAAAGTCAGTTGACGTAGCCTTAGGCATTTTAGCTCATGGCCTCAGCAAGCCGTGCAGTCTTTGATCAAACACAGAGTTAAAATCTGGAATTCCCGTTTAGAACATTTGCTGAAGTCAAATTTTCCTAAAATGATTTATTTTTAAACATTAGAGTTTGTGACTTGAACTTACTTTGCTATCTTCACATAATCACGCTCCTCTTAATAAATAAGATACATCATGTTTATACAGTCACACCTTATCTATGGTTTCATTTAAAACTCCTCACCCAGCGTCAGTCACTCAGCTCACCGAACCAAGTTTGCTCAGGTATTACTAAGTGGCACATTTAAGCACGGATTTTTTATCATTCCTTAATCATTCTTATATTTATCTTTGTACTTGGTCATGTCCTTTGTCTTGTCCTGGAGAGGTGGTTATTATTCTTATGCAACAAAATCATGTACTTTTACTCTGTCCGCACGTCGCTGCTACCGATAATGAAAGCTGAAATCAAACATTGGAATTAAAAAAATATACGATTAAAGTATTGCGGCTTGAAAAAACTACAGAAATGGAATGTTTCCTATGTGAGCAAAAGAATACGAGTTTTCGTGCATTGTCAACCATAACGAAGATGGTTTAGGTCACTGTCATTTACCATTTAAATTGCTGGTAAATCCAGAGATTGGTGAAAGCTTCATGGTAAGAATAACTTATTAAATGCTTTTTTCATGCAGACGGCCAAAGCACTTTTGATAAAGAAGTGAATAAGATAAACCATTTTTTAGGAATTCGGTAATTTGTTTAAATTTTTTCACAGAATGACTAGTGTAAACATTACGATTTATTTGCCTTAGTATATCGTTGTAAATCAATCACAGTGAAAGTATAACTAACAAATCGGGTCGAAGAATAAAATACGACTAATCAAGGTCCAAGTTATAAATGTAATATTTGGGGAAAACAAATGTCTTTGTTTTAAGGGTATTTGAAGAATTGATGGCACGTGCACTAAGCTTCCTAAATTTAACTCAAAAATGAGTAAAGTCATATTTCAGAGACCCCAACAAGCTAACAAAACACCAGCATTAATATTGATGTAACCAGTCTACAGCTTTAAAATCTAACAGAGACAAACAATTCAGGAAGACGAAAGATTACGGCATAGTATTTTGCAACTAGGGTCAGGTTACAAAATAGGAAAGCCCTTCATTTACTGAGTTGCCGAGTCATGTAAACATTTATACAGAAATTGAAATCCTATCTTAGAAAGTTGTTCAATTATCTAACGCGATAGCGTAGGAAGGAATAATTTGAGTAAAAAACTCTACTAGACCTTATTAATGCCTAGACTGTTTCGCAAACTTGAAAAGGGAGAAATTGCAACTAAGGAAATGTCACATGAATTGTACTTGGCAATACTGTTCCCAGTTTAATGGGGCAATTGCTATTTCGTGGTATAAATGTGATTTAGGTTACTAAAAGCGGAGATGACAAATCAATTAGATCTGACTAGGATATGCATTTATTATTGGCAAATGACAAGCAAAGTGCAATAACAAATAGTTTTTTTAACTTATTAACCAATGAGTCAATATCTTTTTCATATTGACGAAAATTCTAACTTCTAAAAGAATGCATATAAAAAGCCTGTATTTGTTGTCAAAAACATCAAAAACATTGCGTAACGGTAATAGGCGCAGGCCGTTCTACGAAAATAGAAGCGGATTGTGCGTTGGTCCACCCGTAAAAAGTGACCAACCCTTAAATTAAAAATAAATTGTATGCCTAGGTTTCTATAATGGTTGTTACACGTGCTATGAATATTTAAAATAAAATTGAGCTTCGTGGTGTAAAGTACTAAGGCTGCGCATCTACCAATTCTCGAAGTATTTGTGATAAAATATAAACGTTTTTGTGGGTTCCGTGGCATTTAGTCAAAATATTGCTCGCTTAATTCCTGTTACTTAATTAGTAAAACCGTTAAAAAAACTGAAATTGTCTTCGTAAAAATTCATTGCAAAAATGTGATCAAATCTGCAAAATGCATCGGTGTATAACGCTTTTATTAAAGCAATTGTTTGACAGTGCAAATTTATAAGCAATTTACAATATTATTTGCGACACGATCTAATTATAAATTATAAGTTAGCAGTGCGTACAGAGACTGCGAAGTGTGACGAGCAGATTGCAAGTACTAGCTCCAATTTAGGTTACGGGACAAAATCGTTAATTAGTTTTTAAATTTTAACTGTCAGTGGTAGTCCTAAGCAAATTTTTTTAATTTACGCCCATTAATCAGGATATCACAGCTTCAGACTAACGGCGTGAAAGTCAGCCATGCAGGATACCTTGCTCTTTCTCTGCTTTGTTTAAATCAACAATTTCTGCTTTATCTTTGGGAATATTTAGACTTTTATACGTTAACCAGATCAACTAAATTGTTAGGCATGCACGATTGTGGCATATAAAACGCAACATGGTGGAGTTTTTTAGTAAACGGTTGTGCCTAGCCATTTCTGGCCTTTTTAAGCTTCACGGGTACCAGGGTATCGTAATCGAGCTAGATATATGTAGCGGTACTCCTGTTGTGGTTTGAGTCAGCATGTCGGAGACCTTAATAGGTCAGACACAAGGTAAACATGAAAACGCTCCATTATTCATATCACAGCTTTTGAGTTTTATGACCTGGACCATTAATTCAATAATTACCACAAAATTCACTGTCACACAACCAATAAGTGCGCTTTCTAAATAAATTTGATCACGTTTGCGACTACATTTGCAGAATGCCGGAGCCGCAGTATACAGAAAAGCAGGAAAGGCAATGCATTACCGGTCACCCACAAGCCAGAGCCACTCGTCATTCGCCGTCCATCCCATTTGCTGCCCCCTGTTCTATACTGCTTCAATCCGGCCTAGTCTCTGGTTGGCTAAATATCTTCGTCTTCGGTTATTTAAACCTACAGAGAAAAAGGATTGGCAACGATCGGCATGGTTCAATATGTCTGCGCCCTGTGAGCCACTGTAGAATACCAGAGTCCTAGCGTAGTGTAGAATACCTGAGCCCTAATAGGAAAAAGATTTCTACAACAGAACAAGCTTAATTGACCAATCAGAAGCCAGAGTCACAAGTCAGGCGCCTTCCATCCGAGTCCACTACGCTGGCCACGCCGCTCATTATGTACTGCTCCTCAGTCGTGTCCTTCTCTGGTTGGCTGCTTACCTTCCTCGCATGCCATTGGAACGCAGAGGGACACAGGATTGGCTGCGGACAGGTTGTCCAACATGTCTGCGCCCTATTCCGACGCCACTGTAGAATACCCGAGCCCTAATAGGTAAAAGACTAGTACAACAGAACAGGCCTTATTGACCAATCAGAAGCCAGAGCCACGCGTCAGGCGCCTTCCATCCGAGTCCACCACGCTGGCCAAGCCGCTCATTATATACTGCATCTCATCCATGTCCTTCTCTGGTTGGCTGCCTTCCTTTCCCGCATGCCATTGCATCGCAGAGAGACACGGGATTGGCTGAGGCCAGGTGGTCCAATATGTCTGCGCCCTGATCCGACGCCACTGTAAGTTTCCGACCCATGGTATGGTGAATAAGAGAGAGATAGGCAAAAAGGAG